TGACTGAACCGGATCAACAATATCATTCATTACCTCTTGCATTCTATGTATCAGTATTTTTGAAATGATCTTGTACAATATCGTACAACAAGATATAAGTCTAAACTCAGAGATTCTTGCTGGATTTTGCACCTTTGGGACTAGTGTTATGGTGGTACAGTTGATGGTTCTACACATGATCCCTGTGTCAAAGAAATCCAACACTGCTTTTGTAACATCTTCACCTACAACTAGCCAGGCTTTTTTGAAGAAACAGGCATTGAAGCCATCACATCCAGGTGCTTTAATGTCATCTATATCTTTGAGAGCTTGTACAAATTCATCTGGAGTTATAGGTGCAATGAGTCCTAGGTGTTGTTGTCTATTTAGTGTTCTTCCTTCCTTCATTATTTTGTTTCATTTACAGCTGGTAGTTTAATAGCAGCAGACCCCAATAGTTTGCCATAGAAATCCAGAATTTCCTTTTTTATGCCTTCTTGATCCTGCACCATGTCCCCCTCAGCATTTATTAAACTCTTGATCTTGTTCTGTGCCATTCTATTCTTCTTGTTAGCAAAGAAGAAAGCATTATTTGAGTCACCTAGTTTTAGCCACTGTATCCGAGCCTTTTGACGAAATATGCTTTCCTCAATATTGCTCCATTTCTCTAACTCTGCTTTAATTGTTGCTTCCTGATCAAACAATGTATGCCCAGGTCCCCTCATTTGAGTTTGCAGGTCTGCTAGTTGATGCCTTAGGACATTCACTTTCTCACTTACTCCATTAAAGCCCCAATTCAATTTCTTCATCTCCTGTTTCACTGCTTTCAGCTTCTGCCATATTTTATTCATACCATTTCCATTTGTCCTTAGTTCCAAGCTGTGTCCACTGCCTTAATGAAGTTCTCATGATCAGCTAGACAATTAAGGAATCGAAAAGGCTTGGGTCCTCCTTGTAGTTCTTCTTCTAGCTTGATACATAAGGGGGAGTGATCTGAGAAATGTGGATCCATGATGGAGACCTCCAAGTGATGATTTCTGATACACCATTCTGAGTTTACCAGTGCTCTATCAATCTTGCTGTAGACATGTGTATTTGTTCAAGTATGCTCTCTTCCTACTGATTTCATTTCAGTCATTCCAGTGTCAAAAAGAAAGTCACTAAAATCTCTAGTTTCTATCTCTGTAACAGGGTTGCCATACTTTCTATCTTCAACCTGTAGGACTGCATTGTAATCACCCATAGCAAGCCAAGGGTTGTGCTGTGAGCTTTGTACATTCCTTAAGCCATCCCACAATCCTCTTCTATCTTCTATAGTGTGCAAACCATACACAGCTGTAAACTGAAACTCCATGACCAAGTAACACACTCTAACTTTGCCATGTATAAACTGTTCTGTAGTCTGCTCAACATCAAAATTAACAGCATTTTGATCCCATATTATCCAGATTCTGCCTCTACTATTGTAGTTGTAATTGTGGCACCAGCTCCACCCATTCACTATCTTCTTTATGATCACTTCAACATTACTTTGTTTGACTCTATGTTCTATTATTGCTATTATTACTATATTATTATTCTTTATAAACTTTTTCATCTCCTTTTGCTTTTAGGTCTTATTAAGACCTCTAACATTCCATGTAGCTAGTTTCATGTAGGAATAAACAGGTGCATATCACTTTCATCTCCCCATTGCCTTCCTCCACATATTCTTGTGTTTGCTATCATCCCTTCTCCTTCTGGTATTGTATTTTAACTACTCAGAGGATCAAAACAATTTACCACTTCCACAGGTTTATCTCGTTCAGCAAGTATAGTAGATGTTGTTCCTTCACTCAGGTTGCTCCTCTGGCCTTTGTTATAGTTCCCCTTTGCAGCTGATTTGTTTCGCACTATTTGCCATTGGCCTCCTTCTGATTGCTTATCTTCAGGATTTGTTTCTCTGCTTTGTCCTTCCACCTCATTCTGCTTTTTCTCACCCTGTTTCTGTTTTTCCTTTTCTCTTTGAGCTTCTGGTACATACCGCCCCTCAGTCCCTTGAGTATTCCCTGTTCTTCTCACCCATTGTTGTTTTGGTTTTGTAGCTTCATCTTTTTGCTTTCCTACAGGTATTTTCTTATCTTTAGACATAGCACATGAATGCCCAGCCTGTGAGCATGTATGACAATATTCCGGTACCCAGTCGTATGCTATCTCTTGATCATAAACTCCTCCCGTCGGATCTTTGACCTTTATAGTCTTTGGTAAGGGCCTAGTGACATCCATTTCCACTAATAAGCGAGCATATGAAATTCTCTCCACCTTTGTTGTGCATTCATCTGCTTAAACAGGTACTCCAAGACCACTTCCAATCCTGCTTAGTGTCTCCCTTTCCCAGCAGCTCAGAGGCAAATTTGGCAGCTTCACCCATAGAGGGATCGTTTGCAATATTTCAGTGTGGAAATTGAAAGTAGGTGCCCAGGCTTTGATAATAATTGGCTTACTATTTATCGTGTATGGCCCAGAACATAGAACAACATCCTTATCTTCTAGACTATTGAATCGAACAACAAAGTAGCCATCATTGTGGTAGAATACCTTTGGCTTTGACACGAAATTCCATGATGCAACAATAAATCTTTCTAGGGCTCCAATAGTCGGATCTTCTCCCACAACATATAGAATTAGGGCTTGTCTCCATTTTGCACTACCTCTCTCAATTTCCTGTTTGTTAAGCTCAACAATCTTCACTCCATCTTGTATAGTAGGAGCAATATATGTGAGATTCATACCCCTTGCTGCCATTTTGTTTCTATTGAAGAGTGTTGCCCACTCTCTCTGCTCCCCTGTCTTCACATTTGGAACCTGATCTGGTGTTTTCCTCTCATCGTTTTGTGCCCCCCCCCCCAGGATCAATCAACATACCGTTTGTGTCTTCTTCAGTTAGTAGACTCCTTTTGCTCGAACCTTCACCTCTTGGTATGGCAATTTGGAATTCTCCTCCTGTGACTCCCATTTTCGGTTGATTGCTGAGGGTTTTTCCTTAGGTTACCACCTCTGCACTTGTAGGTGTGTGAATTGGCGTAATCCGTTGTTGTTCCGGCACCGGAGCTGCTCCTCGAATACCCCCAGTTGGTGTACCACTCGGTGTGTTCAGTCCATTACTGTTTCTTTCTAAATTCTCAATGATTCTCACTCCCAAAGCTTCCTTAATCACAGTCGCTGCATGTCTAGCAGCAACTCTGGTAGCTTTTGGCCGCCCTCTAGGCATCTCCGACTACTGCGCACGTTAGCTCACCTATCGTACGCCGAGAGAGAATTTTCTAGAGAGAGAAACTGTTGAATTTTTTTCCATCTGCTAAAACTTATAATATGATGATATGATTCATTTGCTAAAAGTACCTAAATTTAAGCATCCGTTTGGCCACAGATTTTGCCAAATTTTTTCCAAAAATCATTTGGCAAAACATGTTTGTTTATAGATTTTATCCATGTTTTGGCAGAGTTTTGAAAATAAAATTTTCAAATTTCAAAACTAGCTCTAGACCTGTTTTTGGCCCAAAATATCAGTGTTTGATTTTTTAACAATATCAAGAATTACTCCAAACTTTTATATTTTATAAAAAAAAAACCCATCTATTATGACCCAACTAGCCACCAACTAATTACTACTATCATTTTCTTTTGGATTGATGGATCTTGTAATATTATTACAATTTGACGAATTATAATGCTAGTAATTGTGTTATTAGCACTTGACCTCCCTCCAGGTTTTGCCATATCACACTTACCTCCCTTGTGGTTTACCATATTACGCCTACCTCCCTTATTTAGATTTTCTTGTAACCATTTAAAATAAATATAAATAAAATACAATTTGACAAATTGCGCTTTTAATGTTAATTTCTTTCAATTAATTTCCTTAAAAATAGTGGGAAGTGCTCTTCGTATTCTTGTTCCTCTCCATTCATAAATGCAAGATTCATCAGCCATCTCCCCTGCAAAAGAAAGCAAATTAGGTATGCTTTGCAAATCTCACGTCTTTGCTTATGCAGAGTAAGTACTCATATTTTGTGGGCTTTGATGCTAACATCGCATACATATGATTCCTTTTTCCTACTACACATCATGATCCTTTTCCCCCTAAGGGTTAGTTTAGGTGTTATAGTTTGATATTTCTCTGATCTAAATTGATGCATGTATTAGCATGTAAATTGATGCAACCAAATATTAAGAAGCATCACGAAAGGGATTAAGTATACCGTGTTTAATAAATTTTTACTTTTTCGTACTTGTTGGTTGAAAAGTGAAAGAAAATTCTAGATAGGAAGATATTATATTCTTAAACGTATGTCGTGAGTAGATTCCCTTCGTTTTATTTATTCTTCCTTTTTATTTATTTGTTTGTGTTTTTCCATTGTAGGATGATAACTCCCATAGTTTATCATGATATAATTTTTCACTATGAGAATCGTTGTATTGGGAAAAAAGTTGAATTTATATTGAAGATGACGTGGCATGACACGTGGACTGGACAAGTGGTCAAAGCGTAACAGTTGGGAAAAAGGTACGGGAAATGACAGGTACGGGAAGAAGAAATGAAATAGGCACGAGAAGCAGTTTAGACACGAGTCTCGTACCAATTCGAAGTCATTTAAAGCCAGCGGGTCGAAAGGCATTGAAGACATGAATCTGAAGACAAAAAGGAGTCCAAATTCAGTATTAAATACCTGATACGTTAGAAAATTGGTATTTAATAGGAATGATTGTGTAACGGCTCATTTAATGTCATTTATTGTCCATAATTGTCTCATTAAAGCTTAGATTTATTTCCTTTACCTAGAATCAACTATAAAAGGAGGAAATTGTATTGGAAAAAGGACATGACTTACCTCATACTGAAATAAGAACTTTTGCTTACTGCTTTATTATTATTCTCA